TTTAATATAATTTTAAAAAGAAGCATAAACACAACGAGGGGTGTCTGTTTTATCTGTTTTTGTGACTAACCATGGAGTATAAAATTCAATATAAATTCTCGGTATTGCATTGGACTCTACGATCGGCGGAAGTTATCGAGCATCCTTAATCCTTCACCGGAAATAACGCCGTGCATAGAGCCCATTGTTTTGTGCTACAGACTGACCGCAATCATAACCCTGTTCATGCATTTAAAAAAAAATTATATATGAATCTTTCTGGATCCATCAGATCTAGTTTTTGTAATTGAGGATATGGGTATTATTAATAAATCAGGATATTTTTATTTTATTATATATTTTTTTTTTTAAGTGTATATTTGCTTTTTATTTCATCTTTATTTAAATTTTAATGTATTTATTTGCTCACTTTAAGCGTACTTTAAAAATATATATACACACAAACACAAACCAAACTATAATGCATCAACACAATTTAGTTTTTTAGCAATTAAAGCTTTTCATTAATCCCCAAAATGGCTTGAACCTCTTTAAAAGGTCTGCTGTCCATTTCAAATATAAAATAATATTTGTCCTCTTCTGTTGCAGTTGACTTTACATTCTTGATGTTTAGGGTCTCAAAGACCCCAAAGCATGATTTTCAAAAATGTCATGATATATTATCCTGTACATTAGCCTATTATTTTCCCTTGCATACATTTTTGTTCATTAACTAATCAAAAACGCTGTCACGTCTGGAAGGACTTTATCGTTATCCAACTGAAATTAGTTGGAAGTTGGTTTGAAAGGTCATATAGTGGGGATCTCATATTGTTTTGAGGTGTTTAAAGGTCTCCGTCTTGAACACTTGCGTTCAGATGTTTTGAATGCTGTTTTAAGAGCAGTTTCTCGGATTTGTACATGATTTTTTTGTGTGTGTCTCTGTAAATGTGGGTAGCAGAACTAAAATAGAAGATGAAGCACAGGGGAGAGAGAGAAACAGAAGTAGGTTAATGAGATTCACACACTCCGCTGTGTGTAAGTATGCTGCTGAAGATGAAAACCATGTCAGTGTGATGGGAATAAGCTCTTCCGTCGTTTTCAGCTCGTGAAATGCCCATCTGCACTGGATGAAAGGAATATGTGTGGTGTGCGGTTTCAGATCCGTCGTTTCATTAGAGCAGTCTGTGTGAGATCGTCCCAGGAGACCACCGTGAAACATCAGAAGGGCCTGAGTGTTGATTTACCAATGACGGAGTGTAAATTGACCTTAAGGGAAGAGTGAGAAGGAAAAGCTCTGGGATAATTGAAATGTTGAGGTGTTTTGTTGTTCACTGTGAGATGATGTCTGTTAGTAATGCAGATCATCATCTGTCTACAACCCTGAAAAAATGCATCCAACAATTGGTATAGAGTGACTCGCATTTAAATCAAGAGGTCTGTGTACGGCTCCCTCTGGTGGTCAAAACACTGTTATGAGGACTTGTTTATTAATTCCAGAATTAGAGAGAACATTTAAGAGTGTGTTTTCTAGCCCTAAAAGCACATTTGAGCTCTTAGGTTTCTTCTCAGGTGGAGTTAGGACTAACTTTAATGTCGATAGGAAGCTAAAAGAGCTATTTTGAATGAAAAACAAATGCTTATAGAGCTAACTTTTTTGAGCTATTTTAGCAGTGAGGTTTTTTGCATTCATAAGCTGTTGGAAATATCCTACTGCAGTTGTTATTACGAGCTCGTCAAGTGCTGTTGTCGAAAAGACAGGAATCATGGACACCAGGTTTATTCTTTGCATAACAGGAATGAATTACATTTTAAAAAGGACACACTATAAAATGCTGGGCTTTTTCAACCCAAATTTGGGTCAAATATGGACAAAACCCAATGTAATTGTAAAAAAATTAATAAAAAATGTACTTTTGAAAGTGAAAGTTAACCCAACATTTGGGTTTGTCCATATTTGACCCTAATTTGGGTTGCACTTTTTAGAGTATAGTACAACATAAAACAGTTATTTAAAATAAATCCACATAAATACAGACTTCTAGCAAAAATCTTTCCAACCCCAAACTTTTGAAAGTTATTTTTGTCCTCCGTGTTCGCATGAGGAAATCTGCTGGAACCGTGCAGATGTTTTCCAAAATATCAGGGGAATGTGAAGCTAGTGCAAGGATTGGACTTGAATCCGTCCAAAAATGTCCGCCGTGCCGTCGCGATGGAAAGAGGTCATTTGCTGTCAGCTTAAAGGATTATGGGTAAAATGAACTTGACGCAAGCTGCCTTATCTCTGAGGTGGAGACGCGCGACGTCTTCACTAACCTGTTAGGAAACAGATTCTTTTCTTTCTAACAACATGAGCATCATTTTGAAGATGTGGAGCGATTAAGAGCTGTTTTGTTGTGACTGGAGAGGATAAAGATGTTGTGTTGGATGGGATCTCTCATCAACAAGGGCCGGCTGGAGCGGGATCAGCTTGTGCATCCTCAGGACTGCAGGAGAACTGGATTCATGGTACAGCAGATGTGTGTGTTGAAGTCAGTGAGAGACCAGGGTGAATAGTCTCGAAGTGTGTTCTGTGCTCTAGCGGATTAGTTTCAGCGTGACCAGCGTGTGTTGTTGGGTGGAGACTGACAGCTTATTCTGCCATTCAGTGTTTAAATACACCTCTGACCCTTTTTTTTCGATCCCAGACATGTTAAATCAGCCAGTGACCCCCTTTACTATGACAGAGAGGGTTTCTGTTTACCACACACTAGCTCAGGCTGAATATTTGAGATTGATTATCCTATTAAAGGCTTTTTTATTCATGCTGCAGTGCTGAAATGGGTAATGACCAGGTTATATTTCATCACACATTTAAAAGGTGTTTTTATTTTTATTTTTCTCTTATTTTTTTCTGATAATTAATTACCCAATACACACACCCAATGTCATGATTTTAAGATTTTAAAAAAGGCAATTGTAATTGCTTTTTTAGTGCATTTAAAAAATATGTTTCTTCTGCTCACCAAGGCTGCGTTTATTTACATATAAATGCAGTAAAAATAGTAATATTGTTATAAATGATTGCAATTTAAAATGACTTCTTTCTATTTGATTTATATTTGAGTGTGTGCACTTTATTCCTGTGATGCAAAGCTGAATTTTTCATTATCATCACTTTAGTGTCACATGATCCTTCATTCTGGGGGATTGTGAAAAAAACCGTGATCATGTATTTCCGAGCCCGTTCTCATCCTTTGGCATCATATAGGTGACGCCATATGACATTTCGTCGAAATACAACACACATGGCATTTAGTGTCAATATAACACCTAAACCTACCCATAACCGTGCGTGTTATATTGACACTAAATGGTGCCATGTGCGTAGTATTTCGACGAAATGTCTAAATCTATATGACGCCAAAGGATGAGAATGAGAATGTGTTGTATTTTCTGGATTTTCTTAAATAGAAAATTCAAAAGAGCAGCACTTGTTTGAAATGGAAATATTTTGTGGGATTTTAAAGGTCTTTGTTGTCACTTGAATCAATTCGATGCATCCTTGCTGGAAAAAAAAGGATAGATTTCTTTGAAAAAACATCTTAGTGAGCAAAACTTTTGCCTCCAACAGTGGCTGTGCTGGACTAAATAGATTATAGAGTAAATACTGTCATCGCCTTGTTTTTTGCCCTTTTTTGTGGTCAGAAGACATTATTGATAGTCAGTTATGAAGTCATTGGGTGTCCTTTTGTTGTTTGTCTGTCTGCAAGGAGCGTAATCCTCTTCTCTCAGTGTGACCTGTAGTCTGTGCACTCTAATCTCATTTGTAGTAACACCAATTGTGTGTATGGCTCTGAAGATTGTTCAATTGAACAAGTTCTGGTCCCTTTTCACTTTTCCAGGGTTCAACTTCTCAGAAGCAAAATTATCATTTGTTTGTTCCCATTTTCTTCAATGGTAAAATGAAAAGTCCAGGATAGCACTTCTATGACTTTCCAAAAGAGTGGAAAAAGTATAGACATTGACTGCGGTTTACTGAAAAAAAAAAATATGTAGACCTAAGTTTATTATTTATGCATTTTAATTGCATATAACATTTGGGTTTCACAGTTTTTAAAATAAACTAATAAACTTAATGTGATACAGTCATACAGTACATAAATGAAACCAGTAAGAAACTAGCAATATTATTGTAATAGAACTAAGTAATAAACGGAATGAAATAACCATTTTAATATATTTATAATGGGTCAATCCAATTTTTCAATCTCCACATATTTTAACTAATTGATTCATAATGTTTAACTGAAATGTTTTTATGTGCATTCTAAGCAATTTGAATACATGCATTTTTGAAATTATGATTATTTAAATAAAATCAAATAGATGCAAATGGTTAAGCTATGCCATGGTATTTTGAGTGCAAATAATGATTCAATTTATTTTATAAAATGTCTATGTAAAACGTTATTATTAATGGCACAAAGGGGCTTTCCATACTTGAAATAGTTAACCCTGGGTTATTGTAAACCCCAGGTAAAAGGGATCCTTGCTACACGTTTCACACTGATAATAATTTACCTGGGGTTAACATTAAATCTGGAGTCGGATCCAGATCTGAGGGGTGGAGCTGGGTAGGTTTAGGGGTGGGTTAGGACTCAGGGGGTGGGGCTGGGTAGGTTTAGGGGTGGGGTTAGGGATCAGGGGGTGGGGCTGGGTGGGTTTAGGGGTGGGGTTAGGGATCAGGGGGTGGAGCTGTGTAGGTTTAGGTAGATGTAAGGTGGGAGGAGTTGGATCTGGATCCGACTCCTCCCCGTGGATTTCATGTTCTGCAGCGAGGACCATCTCTAAAAAGCAGTGCTCAACCTGCTCCTGAGCAGGGCTTCATAACCCCGCTTCTAAATTACAAATGTGAAACGTTCCTTTACCCGGGGTTAAAAGCGGTGTTTAGAACGAAGATAGCCCTGGGTTAAGTGCAGTGTGAAAAGCCCTAAATGTTCATTACTTGGGTATTTATTGGATTTTGTCTGGCTTTACAGCCGGTCCAGCGGAGTGGTCTGCTCGGCCCTGCGGTCATGTACAGCACACGAAAGACCTGGGACGTCGGCCACACACCCTGCCTGCAGGAGCTCTGGAACAAAGACCTCTCATTGGATGGTAAGCACTGTCACATGGGTGGACTTACAAACCGGTTTGGCAACATTTTTCTGAGGATAGTTTGAATGTTTGAGTGTATGTAGTGGTTAGAGAGTAGAAGAGAGATACATTGCTGGTGTGTGTGTGTGTGTGTGAGAGAGAGAGAGAGAGACCTCTCTGGCTCAGTCATCAAGGAGAGCTAGAGGGATGTGTCTTGCCCGCTCACAGACGGATCCAGAGCAACATGCACTCCAGGTACAGAAGGATAAATCTCCTTAAAGACGAGAGGAGGGCTTGAACACTGGGACTATTGTGTGTGAGTGCAAGAAAAATATGTACGTGTGCTAATGCGCTCTGTGCTGCATGGGACGATATAACAACAGGCACAGCAATTGTGTGAGAAACAAAGACCAAAAAGGACTAAAAAGGGAAGCAAACAAAGAGGAAAAACAGGGAAATGTCGAGTGCTGGCTTTTGCTGTGATGCAGTGACAGATTTGCATTCAGTCTGACACTCTTCCACGAAAGCGGCTCTACTGCTGTGTCATCGCAAACCGTACCAGCGAGAGGCTGCATGTCTCATCTGTGTGAGTGTAAACGAGAGGTGTTTGGCAAACGAAACGGTAAATTGTTGTTTTTTGGGAAGGTTCATGGCCACATTGAATTCCAGGTTAATGCATCACTCGCAGCAGGTTGTTATCTTATCCTCGGATGTGTGTTTCTGTGGTACCTAGAGGACCTTTACCAGATTGATTGATGATGTTTTCAATGCATGTTTATCTTGAAGGATTACTTCACCCAAAAATGAAGATCCGGTCATTTACTCACTGTCCAGTTGTTCCAAACTGTGAAGGGTTTCTATTTCTTTCAAGTTACACAAACAGAGAAATTAACTTGTTTTTTATGATTTAAAGCTGTTATTGATGGAGGACTGAAGCTTCTAAAGGGAAACCAAAAGCGTTAAAGTTGTCCACTTGACCAGGGGACGTTTGGAAGAAGTAAAAAAAATGCAACTAAAAAAGTTCAATATGCTCATTCCTCGTGTTAATAATTAAACTCTGAGATAAACGTATCATTTCTAGCATTTATGTACCTACTTTGCAGTTCTAGAAGACGTGAGACTCTTCAGACCAAGCTATCAGCGAGAAGTTTGTCTTTAAACACATTTTAAAACCGAAATGACTAAAAGCAACAAAATGTGTTCACATGAAAACAACGTGGACAGACGCAAACACTGGCCGCTTATTCATATGACACCGCAGTTTTTCCTCAATTACCTCTCACAAAGTAGCCTTTGTTTACATTGTTTGTAGATGAATATCTACAGTACTTCGTGTTCTCGATACTGTATTTATTTATTTTTTCTGACTGAGAAAAAACACTTTAGATGATTCACCGAGAGCACAGTCTGAACAAATACAAACTGATTCAGAGCATTTTGCAAACCCGTTTGTCCAATTCGCTTCCTGAAAAGAAAACACTCAAAAGAATGGTTGGTTCATAAATAATTGGTTCACTGGTTCAGTCAACAGAAAGACGTGTAATAACTGCTGAAATATTTGCTGGGAAAACATCTCTCAGGTTAATCGGAGCCCTCATGCTTAAGTGTGTACAACCGTACAGCTGTATACGCCACCGCACAAGACTCTTGACTTATATTCCTAATCTTCTGAAACCATATGTTGGGTTTATGTGAGAAATAGATGGAAATTGAAGCTGTTTTTTTTTTTTTTTTTTTTGAAGATCTTGACATTTGCTTCTAGATCCCCTTGGTGTGTTCATGAGAAGTAGCTGTCCAATCAGTGAACGAATCATTCTTTTGAGTTTATTTCTCATCTAAGTTTTTCATCTAATAATTATATTTTAATTTATTTTATTAATTTATCACAAATATTTTTTTATAGTTTTATCTTTAGTTAACAATAATATCCCTGATCTGGACCACTTTCATGCTGCTTTTGGGTCCATTTCATCACGAAATATATAATTTATATAATTTAATAATAATAATAACAATATTTACTGGTGTGGTAACACTTTACAATAAGGCCCCATTAGTTAATGCATTAACATTAGCCAACGAGAAAATAATTTGTTACAGTTAAAATTAGTTCATAAAAATACTAATTATTTTTAGTTTGTTTGCTCGGGTCCATTAAATAATATTAACCGATGCAACTTTTGATTTTAATAATGTTAGAAATGTTGAAATTAACATTTTAATTAAAATTAATAAATGCTTTAGAAGTATTTTTCATTGATTTAGTTCATGTTGACTGTTTATTTTTGTTACATTGTTACAGTGTAATTATATATTTAAGTACTGATTAATATTAATTAACAACATTTACTTACTATAGGGTTAGGGTTAGTTGCATGTAATAATGCATAATTTAATGTTATTGATTTGGTATGTAACAAAAACACTTTAAAATAGTGTTACCTCTTTACTTTTGTCAAAATAACCATATTTACTGTTTTTGTTGTTTGTGTGTTTTCTTCAGCGAGTTCCCTGGATATCCTGATGAGTGATGGTGAGGAGGAGAGCTCCTTCCTCTCGTTACCCAATTCTGTCCTTCAACGACACCGTTTGACCTCTGACCTCGCTGAAACGGCAACCTCAGAACAGCAGCAGTTGCTGATACAGGTACGACCCTGCGAGTGGTGTTAGCAAAAGCGTTATGATTTTTCATACTAGGCATTCTGGGACTTTTGTCAGTTCTAAAGGATCAGACACTTACTTGGCTAAAAATTCAACATTAACCTGGACAATTAATATTATTAGTGGTTTCGATTCAGGGATTTGCTTCTAAAAACAATTCAGCGCACTTTACTTGCCTGAATAGCAATGGTCGGGCAACCACCACCAACACTTTTTTTCTTTAGATTCTGTGTTTTAGACCATTTACGCCTACCGTTTGGGGTAATTTTTAAAGAAATGTATACTTTTATTCAGCAAGGATGCATTCATTTATTACAAAAGTGTCAGTAAAGACATAATATTACAAAAGATTTCCATTTTCAAATAAATTCTGTTCTTTCTGGAAAAAAAATACTAGGCAGCACAACTTGTTTTCAACATTGAAAATCCTGTTTCTTGAGCAGCAAATCAGCATATTAGAATGATTTCTGAAGGATCATGTGACACTAGAGTAATGATGCTGAAAATTCAGCTTTGCATCTCAGGAATAGATTACGCTTTAAAATACTAAAAAAATGTTGATCATTTAGATCATTCATAGAGAAAGAGGATAGTGACGTATTTAAAGAGACAATTGAAGATATGTGAGTTTATAGGATGTATTAGTATTAGGAGGCCTTAATAGTTTGTATGTGTGTTTTTTTTTTTTTTTTTTTTTTTTTTTTTTTATGTTCATTAATCTTGAAGATGTGAGTCCTGTACAAGATATGCTAAGTTGTAATGATGCGAAAGACATCAATATGTGTCTATACTGTATTTTGCATTTTTGTTCTGGGTGTGTGTGTTTTATATGTTGGTAAATAGTTAATAAATATATTGAAAAAAAAAAATGTTGATCAAACAAATTCAGCCTTGATCAGCAGAAGAGACTTATTTCACAACATAAAAAATGCATTAAAAATATGCATTCAATTCTCATCCATCTGTTTCTGTGATGGTGTGTTGTGGTTGAATCATCTTCACCAGATCACTACACCCAGGAGCTGGTTTCTGTGCGACCGGTCTGTTCTATATCTGTGTGATCTTTGCGTAATTGATTTTACAGGTTTCATAGGTCACCGCTAACAGGCAGCACTGCCTTTGTGTTCTGTGTTTAAACAATGTTATCTGCTTCAGGGCTTCTCAGCGCAGCTGCTTGCTCAGACTGTCTGTAAATGACCACGGGCTCAGTTTGTTTCAGTCTGAGATTCCCTCAGGGTAACATCTGCAGGCAGATCCCATTTCATTTAGTTGATTAGATTAGATTAGATTAGATTAGGGCTGCTTTAGATCTAAAACACCTCACTGTTTTTGAGCTTTAAATGGAAAGATTGATAAGAATATAATGAAGGATTAGACAACATTTGAGGATGGGAAGTTTGGTCTGTACTTGATCCATTGTTACCCTTTTTCCACCAAAAAAAGAACTGGTTCGGAACTGGTGCTGGTTCAAAGTTGGTTTGGAGTTGGTTCAACTTGCGAACCGCTTCAGAACCTATTTGTTTTTCCACTGACTAGAGCGCCCAGGGAACGACGCCGTTACGTCACTGTGTACGTCGCCATACGCTTGCAAATACAACATTACTTTCGGATTATCTCTAACTTGTGTACCAAGAAAGCTTTAAAAAGAATTGAAATATGTAAGTCTTTTAATCTTTTCGTTTGATATGTAATCTTTTCTGATAATTTATGTACCCCTGTCTTGTGTCTTTTTTTTCTTTCCATTTATTTGTTCTATAATTGTGACCGTTTTCTTCTTTGCTTATAATGTCTTCAATAAAAAAAATTACAAAAATAGAAACGCTTGCGTTACAATTACAAAGGCGGACTCCATCGTGTTTCTGCAAATGTTTCTCTTGGCTTTGCGATCCTTTATTATGGTCAGAAAAGATGTTCATTGATAGTTCAATGAACATCATTGAACTATCAGAACACATCTAAACTTCCCCTCCGGTCTCGGCTTGGTCTCGGTCTTGGTCTCGGTCTGTGTCTCGACTTGGTTTTGGTCGCGGTCTTGGTCTCGACTTGGTTTCAGTCTTGGTCTTGGTCTCGGTTTAGGCGGTCTTGGTCTTGGTCTCAGTCTTGGTCTCGGTCTCGACTTGGTCTTGGTCTCGACTTGGTTTTGGTCGCGGTCTTGGTCTCGACTTGGTTTCAGTCTTGGTCTTGGTCTCGGTTTAGGCGGTCTTGGTCTTGGTCTCAGTCTTGGTCTCGGTCTCGACTTGGTCTTGGTCTCGACTTGGTCTCAATCTTGGTCTTGGTCTCGGTTTAGACGGTCTTGGTCTCGACTTGGTCTTGATCTTGGTCTTGGTCTCGACTTGGTCTCAATCTTGGTCTTGGTTTAGGCGGTCTTAGTCTCGACTTGGTCTTGGTCTCGGTCTCTGTCTTGTTCTCGACTTTGTCTCGGTCTCGACTTGGTCTCGGTCTTGGTCTTGTTCTCGACTTGGTCTTGGTCTCGACTTGGTCTCGGTCTCGGTCTTGGTCTCGACTTGGTCTTGGTCTCGACTTGGTGTCGGTCATGGTCTCGACTTGGTCCGTCTCGGTCTCGGTCTCGGTCTTAGTCTCGACTTGGTCCGTCTTGGTCTCGGTCTCGATACCCTCTGGTCTTGGTAGTGTCTTGGTCTCGGTTTAGGCGGTCTTGACTACAAGTCTAGTAGGTCGTAAGCTCTTCATGAAGTAATATGTCGTTTGCCTTTAATCTTCCAATAGCAGCCTTCATATGTGAGCAGAATTTGTTGAAATGCCATGAATTTCAATTTATCCTTGATTCTAACTTTTGCATAACTAACAGTAAAAATATGTTGCCAATGCATAATGCATAATATGTAATAACATTCTGAAACTGCATTTGAAATTAATAAGGATCGTGATACTGAAAAAACACAAGAAATGAAATATATTTATTATGATTGATTTAATTTGACATGGACACGGACCGATGCCCAAAGTGGTGTGCTCTTTAGGACGGGGTTTTGTTGAAGAGCTAACAAAGTAATTTATGTTCAACGTTCTCGCTCTTAAAATGTAGATGTGTAATGTCAACATGATCATGTATGTCTAAAGGATTGAAGTCTGTTTTATTCCAACCATTTCTCCTTATCGGAGGCTTCCAGAGATATTCAGATTATACATATTTACGTTTTAACAAATGTAATAGTGTAACGCAAAAAATATTTAGTAACTTTGTCCCCCTTTACATCAAAACTAGGCTAAGTTGTAACTTGCGCATGTTGAATAGATATGACTCCTGTAGCTCATCTGGAGTTGCATAACACGATCCGCTGTAGGTTAATGATACATTAGGAGCACAGTCCTCCTCTCTTTGATCTCCAGGGGTGGGTGAAGCTTCTCTGAAAAGGACAATCTAGAGTAATAGAGATTTGAGTGTGCTTGGGTTTCCAGTCTTTTCAACATACCATCAGCGCAGAAGAGATCCGATTGGCTGGAGATCACATGTATGGTTTGTCCAGGCCTCTGCTTTTCAATGCATTGACGGCTCTTCTCAATACAAACAATAGTTTAAAAAGTGGGATAGCTTTGTATGTGCTTCTCTAGATCTATCTGTGTTGACCAGGTAGAGGTACAGTGAGTCGGTAGTGGGAATTCCAGCCTAACCAATCACTGAAATACAGGATTTTAAGACATCAGATTTTCAAATCTTCAAAATAGCATCATCTCAAAGAGTTGGTATGTGCACATTTTTTCCCGCAAATGTTCTTTTGTGTGTCATCTGTCATCCATCAATGTCACATCATTGATTGTTTTGTTTTCATGCTCCTTTCTTCCCTCTCTGTCTTTTTTTTCTGTGTCTGCACTGCCGTCTCTCCATTTCACCTGCACAGAAGGTTACTTTGTCCTGTTCCTGGACGTCTGCCTACGTAATTCCCATTCTTTCTTTGTGCTTAGCTGTGTGTGCTACTTGCCTCGTTCTGACGTCATCTTTACAAAACACACTGTGCTGCTGTAAAGTCTAAACTCTGTTCGTAGTTCTCCTTGTTTGCTTAAATCTCTCTACTAGAGGTTTTGTAGTCGCCCGAGTCCCTGAAAGCTGTATCCGAGGTAGTTTGTGCCAGTAGAAATAGTCACTTGCTCATTAAGTTCTATTGTGAAGTTAAAGGAATTGTTTAATTTTGTCTTTTTTACTCATGTTATTTCAAAAATATGTTAATGTTTTCTTTTGATACATGATGAGATATATTTTTGCAAATGTCCTGGCTCTTTTTGTTACAACAAAACCATACAGTTTTTAAAGTCTGAACTTGAATTGAAATTATAAAATTGTGTAAATAAAGGAATAATATTGTAAATAATGTAATAAAGCCATATGTGTTTGGGATGACATGAGTATGTTGTGTAAATGACACTTGAAGAACCTGAAGAGCACTTTCTCAGTAACCTGGTTTTCATTTTCATTTTAATAAAATCCTCCCACTGTTTAAATCTGCTTCCTGCTAGTTTGTGTGTAGTTGTTCAGGTCGTACAGCTGGCATTCATGATTGAATTTAACACAGATTTCTTGTGTGTGCAGACGCTGCAAGAGAGAGTTTGTGAGTTCCAGGCACGCTTGCGCAACGAAGACGCAGCGAAACAACTCCTGCTACAACGACTGCAGACACACGACGACCACCATTACGAGGAACATTCATCCTTTAACCAAGAACCTCAAGAGCAGCTCAGACTGAACGGCGTCCAGCTCAACCAAGCTGTGTCCCCTACAGGTGAGAAACACATCATGTATTGGTCACACTTTATATCAGGTGTTGTTAACTATGTACTTTCATCAAAAAATATTGTTAGGTACTTATTATTGTGTTCATGTTGCTGCTGTTGAGGTGGGATACGGGTACGTTTAGGGACCGGTTTGATTTGAGTGGGTTTAAGGGTGGGTTAAGGTGTAAGAGAAGGGACTACGGAGGAATTATAGATTTTAATTACAGCTGTAATTACATGAAGGTATTTTATAAATAAGTATAATGGGGGAAAGATGATCTACACAATAAGTGCATTGTATCAAATTATTAGTTTAAATGTTAGTACATAGTTAAAAGACACTTTGTATAAAATGGGACCTATTATTATTATATTATTATGAATGTTTATATTTATATAATATGTAATTTTAATTATAATATATATATATATATATATATATATATATATATAATATGTAATTTTAATTATAATATATATATATATATATATATATTATAATTAAAATTACATAATATATATATATATATATATATAATTATTTTTATATATATACAAATAAAAAATAATAATTATATATATATATATATATATATATATATTATATATATTATTATTTTTTATTTGTATATATAAAAATTTTATATATATATTATATGTATATATATATATATATATATATGTATATACATGTATAAAAATAAAAAAATAATAATTATATATATATATATATATGTGTGTGTGTATATGTGTATGTGTGTGTGTATATATATATATATATATATAAATAATAATTATATATATATATAATTATAATTTTTTTATTTGTGTGTATATATATATATATATATATATATATATACAAATAAAAAAAATATAATTATATATATATATATATATATATATATATATATATATATATATATATATATATATATTATACATTTTTTTTTATTTTTTTTTTGCTGTCAGGCAGAATCCTTGTATCTCCAAAACGCTACATTTAGGACATGGAAAAGTATTTTTTAAATAATTAAACACCACGTTGTCATAGTGGCTTTATGTATGGTCAGACGTGTGCATCTGTCATTTATATTATTAACATTTTACCAAAATCAAGCTTGAAGGAGTTATCTGACATTCGCTGGCCAAAAACCTTATATGTTTTGTCCATCATTAGAGTGGCTGCATCTGGGGCAATAAGTGCATCACATTACGTATTCATCAACTACTAGGTTATAAAGTTTACTGTTTTTATGTGGGCGCTCCTTTTTTTCTGATGAAATATGGAAATACAAGGTTTCTGCCTGACAGCAACAATATTTATGTAATATTAATAAAGCTATGTATACATATTTACATTTATTAACAACATTGACACTGTTATTGAACTGAACTGATTTGACATTGAACTGACTTGAGCTGAATAATGATACTGTTGTCTTCTGTAGAGCTGCTTTAAAATAGATGAATCTTCCAACATTAACGCTGTCATTTTCCTGTTTATTAGTGAAACAATCTGTATAAAGTGCTACATAAATGCAGGTTGACTTAGCTTGTGACCTAAAAATAAGAAAAAGCTGCTTGCGTGGCATTAAGTTTGTGTTTGTATGTGTCTCTGTGTAGGTGCGAGGAACTCTAGTACTTTGATACAAAAGCCTCTGGATTTTCCCAGCGCTGTACAAGTGAGTAAAATTCACTCACAGGAGCAACTGCAAAAAGACGAGGGAGAACAACTCGCTCTCATTACAGGGCTGCGCACACAGGTACGTTACACACAAAGAATGGGGCTCAGTTTTCCAGCCAGTTTCAGATCATTTACATTCCTCAGCCGCCATGTATCGTGACCTTTTATGCATCAATATTCATTGTTTCTGTCTGGCTGGATTAAAGAAGATTGATACCTCATAAATGTGAATGCATGAAACTGGATGATTCATTTCTTTTTAAAGACAGAACTGGCTCAATAATGCTGTTTGTTTGTGGTTTTGTAGGTCAAGGAGCTGGAGGAGAAACTAGTGGATCAGACACAGGAGGTGGAGAGACTGCGCTCTGAGCTGGTGAGAGACTGAAACCGGGAGAGAGAGGGATTATTAGGGACAGGGAGAGTTGTCACAGTTGTGTGGAAACACATTTCTATTGTTTTAGAAAGAACACTGACCTGATTTCATTTTATGATGGGAGGTGTAGGGAGGGTAATCCTGGTTATCTGGTTTTGTTGATAGCAGAGGAATGTGTCCCTGATCTGATCTGTAATTTTAGATTGGCGTGGCTGTAGTTATCTGTATTTTGAAAAATTTGTCCCCAGAAGCTAAATATTATGAATCTTATTCTCATTAGAAGAAAAACAAAACAGTTCATTAAAATAATTAACATTTTAATTTATTTAATTTTTGTAACACATAGCATTAAATTACTGTACCGTTCAAATTGTGACAGTCTATTTGTAAAGACATTTTTAATGTTACAAAGAATCTATTTTAAATAAATGTTCTTTTGAACTTTCTAGAAAAGAAGAATCCTGAAAAAGCATCAGTTGCCACAGTTGCCACAATGTTAAGCAGCACAACAGTTTTCAACATTACTGATAATAAGACATTCATTTTGAACTGCAAATCATATCAGAATGTTTTCTGAAGGATCATGTGACACTAAAAAATGTAGTAATGATGCTGAAAATTCAGCTTTGCATCACAGAAATTACATTTTATGTATAATAATATAAAGATATATATCTTCCCCCAATTAAAGTACTGTACTATGTACTTACATCGAAAAAGAAGTACAACGTGTTATTGTGTACCTGTTGTATTGTAAAACACTTTTGCTGCTATTGAGGTGTGATACAGGTAAGGTTAGGGACAGGTGTGGTGGTATGGGTCAGTTTAAGGGTAGTTTAACCCCTTAACTGTCACCCCCCCCCCCCCCTTTTTGAGAATGGGGGTTAAATGCTCTATTCACACTTAAATGGTTGTAATTTAAGAATGCCTTGGAATATATACCCAAGTTTGGTCTTGTTTTAAAGAAAACACTCAGCAGATTATTGCTGAAGTGAAAACACTTCAAAAAATGAAAGTATGAAAAAGTTATGGAAGTTTTAATTCACAGTAAATCAAATATACTGTACTATATATTTTTTATTTTATATAAAATATATATTTTACAAAATATTTTTACTCTAAAATTGCTATAAAATCAAAGCCATAAATCTAACCAAGTTATGTTCCAAATTTGAAGTTGATATCACAAAAATTGAAGTTCCCATGAGATTTTGTTTAGGCATAGTACCAAAAATAGCCACCGGGTGCCATTGAATTCCATTGAATTTAGTTGTGTACATTCTGCCTTAACAAATTAATACATTTCTGTCCAAATATCAATTTTGTCACAAAATGTGGAACCTTCAGACTCAGACCTTTCTGACAATATGTGTTTTGTCAAGATTAATAAAGGTTTTGATCATAAATTATGAAATATAAGGATGCCCAAAAGGGGAGGAGCCTCCCCTTTTTGGCGGAGGTACCGTTTCTATGGTAACGCAACGTTCAATTATAAAATGGTTTTCACAGGATGAATTCTGAGTTTATAAGCTTTCAAATGATACCTAATTTATGATAACTACTAAAATGTGTGACATAATAAAAAAAGGCGATAAAAAATATTATTATATTTTAGAGGATAATATATACATATATATTATCATTTTTAGAGGATAATTTTATACTATACTTTTTATTTTTTATTGAAAAATACTAGATTATATGTTTTATTATGAACTTTTAGCATAAAAACAGAAGTTTCAATGATTAAAAGTGGGTGCATCAACTTTTTGTGACAAAGGTCAGACCTCCTGTTATGATGCAGATTTTTTTAGGTGCACTCTTGTCATAAATTCATTAATTACTCTTCCTACATAATTTTTAACACAAAACTGGGGTCGAATATTTAATTAGAAGTCTTAGACCTTTCCAAAAATATATAATTTGTCATAATTAGATTAGGATTTAATAGAAATATAGTGAAGTAAAGTTAGGCGTCCCGGTACCGGGACGGTGACAGTTAAGGGGTTAAGGTGCAAGGGTAGGGTCAACAGTGTAATTACAAATGTAATTACATAAATTAATTACAGCTGTAATTATATGCAAGTATTTTTAAAACGTTAGTACAATGTTAAAACATGTAAGTACACAATAAGTCCATTGTATCAAATTATTAATTTCAATGTAAGTACATAGTACTTAAAGCCACTTAATATAAAGTGGGACTCCTACATTAAATCATTCACTCATTCAGTTAGCTAAGTAAATGTGTGTGTGTGTGTGTGTGTGTGTGTGTGTGTGTAGGGGGCGACAGATCTGGAGAAACAGCTCGAGGTGCTGGAGAGTGAAAACCAGCGGCTCAAACAGGAGCTGAGGGCCAGTCACACCCAGACCAGCTGCTCTACTGCCCACTGCCCGCACAGCCAGGTACACTCGCACGACCATCTTACCTTTATAGGTCAAACAATGAAAAATCGAAATCTTTGCAACCAGGTTGTGAATCATTGCAAACTTCAAATGCAATCCGATTGGTTACTTGATGCTTGAAATTAGGGCTGTTTCGATTCCTTGATTAAATTAGAGTATGCTTTTTAAAAAATCCAATTTTACCCATGTCGAGTAAGCGACAAAATGCCAGAAGTGGCTCATTCCATGGATGAGAATCCATTATTAGACAGTTTTCAAAGGCTGCAAGATGTATTAAAACCATTTAAAAACCACATATATATTTAATATATAGGCTCTTTAATTATTTACATGCATGTAGGTCACCACTGAAAACGCCAGACGCTCTGCTGAAGACACTTAGCTTTGAGCGCTTGAACATTTTGGCAGCGGTTCTTTTCCGTTGAGACGTTTCGTTGCTATGATACAGAATATCCGCAGCACAGTTTACTTTTAACTGATTTCGCCGATAATTTGTTTCATACTAAAAATAAATTTTTTGTCCATTTTGTTCGGTTAGCTCTGCCCGTTGAGGTCGTTGTACAGAAACAATGTTGTGACAGTTGGTCAGTGAGGTATTAGTCCCGCCCCTCCTCCACTGTGATTGGACGGTTGTGTAATAAGTAGGGCTGGGTAATAAATATCGATTTCTCGATATTAATCGATTCTCATTTTTACAAACCGATATCGATTCTTAAATCTCAAGAATCGATTAGTCATCCTGTTTCATTTGAATGAATGAGACATTGGATCCAACAAATCGCGCATCCAACAAATCGCAATAATCTTTGTCCTTTGTTACTATTGACATGAAACAAAGTCTCAATTTTTTAAATTACGTCAATTTTCTATAGAAATTCAAAAACATAAATAGCGTTTTGCCGTTTTGGCGGTGTGACGTGAGATCACTCTGGAGAAGCTCAAGAGAAGCAGCAGCGCTGATCTCTCTTCCGGTTTAATAATACAAGCTACAGTGCGAAATAAACATGAATGAGCATCTGAAAGTGTGTTAAAAGATAGAGTACAACTTATCTAAATCCGTATCATGTCACATTGATTCGCTCAATCTGCGTTTCAACCGTGGAAAGACGTCAGTTAAACAGCTTGTAATCAATGTCATGTATCGTCATATTTACCTCAGAAAACCCACATAAACTCGTTAGTCCACACTCGTTAGTGTTCTTCAATATTTAATGCATATTTGAGTAAATCTGGCAAGTTTTTATGACAGCCACCATTTAAATGTTTATATTTCATATAATCTTCTTATACAAATAAATAAAAGTGTAATTTACGTGTTTGTATAGCTAAAAAACAGTTAATCATTACCTTCATATTAGGCTAATGACGCCTAGTAGGCTACAACTAGACTATAGACCATAGTTTACAGCATTTAAGAGATTTGATTCCCTTGAGAAAAATTGCCAATTATTGTCACTGATATCCAAAATAATCGATATTGAATCGAATCGTAATCGAAATCGAATCGAATTGTGAAATTTGTCTCAATACCCAGCCCTAGTAATAAGTGACAGTGATGAGCAAGTTTTATCCAAGTTGAACATTTTTAAACTCTCGGCGACCAGTAAAAAACTTTGGGCGCTTCAGCGTGAAAAAAACATTCAGCACCTTGTTACGCTCATGCCGTTTAAAGAAACGCAGCACTCCAATTGAAAACATATGCCAGACAAACGGTTTGGTGGACACACGGCCTTAGAGTAGCTCTGTTCACAGTAATTACTGTTCTTTACATGAGTGAAAGATGTCTCATGTATGTACATCTCGTATTTTGTGAGTTTAGGTTACTTAGAACGTTCATCTGGGAACTTAATGTGCACCATTTCATTAGATTTGAGAGTTAAATCATTTATAAACCTACGCCAACAGAATATATCACTTTTCTAAATATGCAAACTGTGATTTCAAAATAAGTTTGCCCTTGCTCTGAGTTTGCATGTTTTGATGTGCACATATTCTTGTTCAAAGAAATTACGGTGGCTGTGGCACTTCTATCATAAAGAAGGGCCAAATATTAAAGATTAAGTAAACATTTTGATTAAATGTCGATTGGCCAATATTAAACAAGGATTTGATCTGCTGTGAAGTGTAACGCCCTCTGCAGGCATTTGTTATAATACATAAAGTTCACATGATTGTTTATACTATGTATATTATCTATTTGAACTGTATTGTTTTATGAACCATATTGATGCTTTATATGAATATCATTTGTATTCTATATTAAGTAATTTAAGGCTATTGTTTTCTTAGGTCTATTTTTATTACCACACAAAAATATCAGATTTCTCAACAAAATAATGACCAATTACCAAAATAATCATTAGTGACCGCCCTACTTGATATGCTATCTACCTCGTGTTTATTCTCACACTCTGTTTTGTTATGTAATGTGTCGGCCTCAGGATGCGGAGGCCCTGCGTGGAGAGCTGTGTCGTAAGGGCGAGGAGTGTCGCGAGCGAGAGCGCCGGCTGGCCGCGCTGGAGCAGCAGGTGCAGGAGAGGACGGGTGTCGTGGTTCAGCTGCAGGAGCAGTTGGAGGAGGCCGCGCACCACAGACAGCAGCTCCAGAAGCAGCTGGAAGAGGCGTCATGCCACAGGAGCCAGAGCGAGGATCAGCTGACCTCTCGGCTTCGTGACGCTGAGGAAGCTCTGTCTCTCCAGGCTGCACAGCCGCTGCAGGTCAAGGCGAGTGTGTGATAGCAGAGCACAATGTTGAATGTTGGCTACACTTTCTTTTAAGGTGTCGTAATTATCTATTGTTAAGTACTGAGTAATATAAATGAACTACACGTACTTACTTGTGTGTTTTAGGGTTAGTTGCTTGTAATTATGCATAATTTACTGTTATTACTACAATAAGTATATATTAAATATGTAACAAGGACACTAAAATAAAGTGTTGCCAAAGGGTTTTATTGAAATGTAAGCTTGAACTTCTATCACTGAGGCTTTTTGTGGGTTTGTTTGAGTTATTTAGCTAAAGTAAATATGCCTAAATAGCAAATAATTAAAGCAAAACTACTTTACTATTATGATGCCGGACTGTGAATGTACAGTAACACACACTTCATTTTAAAACAACAGTTTTGCATAAAATAAACGCCAGTTAACACAGGTGATGTGTTTGTACCACTGCTCGTGTGTGTTGTTTAATGTTGTTACTGTCCCCACCATGCTATTTGTTTAATGATTTATACATTTTGTTATGATTGATTCATGCATTTCATTGTGTGTATTATTTAAAGAAGTGAACACAAGGCAATTATTCATGTTGAATGTGTATTTTTTTTTTTTTTTTTTTCTGTGTAATCGCATACATATTATAAACTGAGTCATACTTGTGTACTGGAACATCTTTCCCACAGTGGATTTAAAATGAACAGAATTAGAAACAAAGTATGTAAAGAGCGTCAAAGACAAACGTCCATAATTAAAGTAATGTGAGGGTATAGATGCTACATCCTTAAAGCAAAACTAATACAAAAATACTGTACACTGAAAAAAATAATATGCTTTATCTAATCAATAAAATTGTGGCAACCTATTGCAAGCAATATTATTAATTAAATTTGTACAAATTAGAATGTTCATTTGATTAAGTATTACTCAATTCTAATTTGTTCAATTTAATAAATAATATTGCTTGTAATCTGTTGCCACAATTTTATTGATTAGATAAAGCATATTCATTTTTAAAGTGTATAGCTATGAGGTGTTAATATTCACAGAATAGAGACTTTTGGATTTTCCAGAATAAATATCATTTGTCATTATTGATAAATCATAATTTCTTATGTACAACTCACTTAGCCAAACATCAAGTGTTGGTACCGTGTCCAGTTTCCACATCTAGAGAATCAACCATACTGAAAGAGATATATATATATATATATATATATATTATCTCCAAATAGCCTGTGAAGGCTCATACTCAGGGCTGATGAACACCTAATAAAAGTGAATTAATGTGTCTGTCTGTCACTCTTCCTGCAGTATGTGACCAAGACGGTTGAAGTGGAGTCGGCTCAGTGTAAGCAGGCTTTAATGGAGGCTCAGGCCCGTAACCAGACGCTGCAGGAGCAGCTGTGTGTGCAGAGACAGCTCCTCAGAGAGCTCGAACAGCAGCTCCACGAGTCCCAGAGGACCAGCGGGCAGCTCCGCCAGCAGGTATCACACACACACCTCCTGCACCAGCCGCTCTCATACATTATTAACATTTAGAGTGTCCTGGATTATCATGTGGACGTGCGTTTCTCAGATCTGACCCCGTTTGTGGTGACCGTGGTGGTCTGTTGATATCTGTTCACGTCAGATTATACATTTAATGAGGCCCTGTGATATTCTGTTTTTATTTTTTTCCCAAATTTTCAAGTTCTTGTTCTTGATATCGACAATTCATTTTGAATGGCAGCCTATGGTGAAATTTCACTTGTGAAAATACAATTACAGATATCAGCAATTAAATTGTTGATATCAAAAAATGTAATTGAAAATTGAAAACTAGTTGAAATTCCAATTTCACACATCAGAAATTCAATTATTACTAGTAAAAACCTTTATTTTTGATATCAATAATTACCAGTTGAAATGTCTATTCTTGATATCCACAATTGAATTGCTATTAGTAACAATGTTCATTTTTGATGATCAATAATTAAATTTTTACTAGTGACAATTTTAATTTCTTCTTACTAGTAAGAAAGCCATTTTAGATATCTGAAATAATATCGATATCAGAAATACATTTTCAGATATCAAAAATGATTTTTACTTGTAGCAATTGAATTGTTGATATCAAGAATAGACATTTCAACTAGTGGCAATTTAATTATTGATATCAGGAATTCGCATTTTTACTAGTAACAATGTAATTATTGATATCAAAAATTATATTTCTACTAGTAAAAAATCAATTGATATCAACAATTCATTTTGAATGCCAGCCTATGGTGAAATTTCACTAGTGAAAATACAATTACAGATATCAGCAATTAAATTGTTGATATCACAAAATGTAATTGTTTATCAAGAATTGATTTCTGTCTAGTTGAAATTCCAATTTCACATTTCAGAAATACAATTATTACTAGTAAAAAAAAATATTTTTGATATCAAGAATTCAATTGTTACTGGTTGAAATGTATGGCAAGCCGTTTTAGCTTTTATTCATCTCCAGGATATGAATTCTTGATATCAACAATTACATTCTTGATATCAACAATTACATTTTTTGATATCATGAATAGACAATTCAACTAGGGACAATTTAATTATTGATATCAGGAATTCAAATTTTTCCTAGTAACAATGTGATTATTGATATCAAAAATTATATTTCTACCGGTATACCGCCCAGCACTACTTTTGTGTCTGATGATAGTTTTCTCAAATGAGCAGCTGTGGAGGTGAAGTTCCTTGTGCTGTGCTCGTGTCCTGATGTAGTGAGACAGCGGACGCTGAAACGCCATGAGTGTCACTGCTCCGTTCATTCACACAGAGACTACTTTTATTTATTCACACAACTTTTACCAGATTCCGTAACATTCCTGACCGGGTTTCGTGAATCTAGTTGATTGCGGTGTTGTGGAAGAGCAGGTTAACGGCTCTCTCTCTTCGCATGTGTTGCAGCTGAGGATGGACCGCGGCCGTCTATATGGTCTGCTCTCCAAGGCGGTGGGTGGGGCTAACACAGAGGTCACCCACAGGCTCTCCAAGGTCAACCAGATTACTCTGCAGGGGTCAAAGGTCAAAAATGTGTCATGGGTCAGATTGCAACTTTATAGGAAATCATATATTTGAGATATCTTTGTCCCATTTTAAGTGCTTATTGCAAATGTAGATTCACGTCCGCTGATGCTCATTTTTGACCTCTGAAACCCTGAAACTTTGCAGAGTGACTAGCTCACATTCTCTTCAGGGTCGTAATTTTTGTGTTATTGCAATAGTATTTCCATGATCTACTGTGAAATAGTTGATGTCACTCCGTTGTGTACTTCAGATGTATAGTATTGATGATTGATGGTGTGTGACCCCAGATGCCTCTCCCAAGTATGTGACTAATAGCCCCCCCACCCACCCCACAGGTCACTTAACCTAACTGCATTAAATCTGTCTATCAAATGACTGTGGTCAGTAGTAGATGACATCTTTAATAGGGGTGGCACGGTTCACAAAACCCACGGTTCGGTTTGTATCACAGTTTTAGGGTCACGGTTTTCGGTTCTGTACGGTTCTTGTTATTTTTCTTTTAATCTTTAACACTCCAGAAATGTACTTCAGCATGTGATATATATAATTATCCACACTTTAGGATACAGTATTAAAAAAAATATATATTATATTCATGCAATCATGCACAAACTGAATTTGACTCTTTGACTTTTAGCACATTTTGGGACTATCTCAGAGGAAAGCTAGGTGAGATTTAGATACAGCAAGAGAGAAGAAATTGACATGCTTTTTGTTTATTTGGCAAAAAAAGGAGAATGTGTATCACTATCTCTACAAGAACTTGTGCATTTTTATCACATAAATCTTATTTACACAAAAAAATTAACTTTCATGTATCAACTGCTAACTTCAAAATTCTATCTTTTAAAAGAAAAAGAGAGGAACTCTTAAAACACTGTCTTTTAAATGTCAATATACATGAAACCTCATTGCCTATAGATAATTAAGCTATAGCAATAGCAAAGGCCATAAACATAAAGTGAAATTGAAATTCAACCTCAAAACAAAAACAGTATCAACAATGCTTCTATTCCCAAAATGTGAGGGTACTTTTTTCCACTTTTTTGGGTTTGGAAACGTATGACTGAAGCTCTTATCTATACATAAAGTGCCACTGTAGTTAAATTAAAATATCATAACATGAAATCCAAAATGTTCCCACACACCGGACTTATACCATAGACTTATACGACGCTGGCGCATCCTCCAACTCCCTCATCTCTCCCACTTGCCATTTCTCCGCGTGCCGTGACCTGCAGCGCTCCATACTCCACTTTTACTGGCTTGTTTATTAACTTGAACCGGCGCTGCACAGACAGAGCGATCGGTAATGACATCAAATACCGCGAAAGTGATGAATGCATACGGAGCCGACTCGCGCTAGATTGATGTTATTCACCGATCGCTCTCTGCAGCGCCGGTCCAAGTCGAACAAGTTTATGTCGCGCGAAAAGAAAACACACGTCACATACGGGCACGAGGTTACATTGCGCATGCGTCGAACCGTGAGACGCACACGCGCTCCGAACCGAGACAAGCGAACCGAACGGTTCGGGTGTTTTTTCATGTACCGTGCCACCCCTAATCTTTAATGCTGGTGGTGTTCGTGTTTTTTTGGTCCGAGATCTCAGAAATCATAACTGGCTTTGCTTGAAAGCAAAAAGCAGGTTTTCTCTGTGCATCTGTGTTCATCGGTTGTGTGTATAGGGGTGTTTACACTGACAGTGACAAGTTGCGAATTTACTCACTGTCATTGTAAAAGCTCCATTAAAGGGACAGTTCACCCTAAAGTGAAAGTCATTTACTCACCCTGGTGTTGTTCTAATGCTGTATGTCATCCTTTCTTTTATGGATCTCAAAAGGAGATTTTAGTAGTTCACTCTGTCTCCCCCAGAGAAAGCACACAAGTTGTGATAAA